TGGTTGGCAAGCCCCACTACCGCCATGCTGCACCAGGCTCCTAGATCCTGTCCTCTCATGTAGCTATCACTCTTGGTCCTGCTGCACTGCTCTCTCTCCCTGTCTTCCATGTTACAGCTCCTCTCTCTTTACCTTTGGGTCTCCCTTTAAGCCTAGTGGAATGGAAAATTGGTCAATCCCCTAGTCAGGGTTCTATATACCTTATTTACATGGTCCTGCCCCAACAAGTATGCCATGTACCTTATTTTCTTTATTAGCAAGCTATCCAATCCCCTTGGTGGATCACATTCAGCTCATTTGCATACTGCAACCCAGTCATTTGGTGGGGAGTTACAAAGACTATGGCTAGAAGGGCCATATTAAGTAATTCACACAGGTACTATTCTGAGTGCTTTACAAATGTCAGTTAGTTTATTCCTCACAACTACTCTATTAAAACTTTTTTACCCTCATTTTAAAATGGAAGCAACTGAGGCCCAGAGAGGTTAGGTAAGTTGCCTGAAATCACACAGCAGATGAGTTTATGGATCATCTGTCTCCCACACCAGAAGACAAGTCCCATGGAGGTAGAAGCTCCATCTGTGGGTGGTCTTGTTCCCTGCTAGAGCCCCTGCACACAGAACAGTGGGCTGCACATAACAGGACCTAAAAAAAAAATAAAAAAAGATGTAACAGAGGACGTCAGACCTACCTAGAGAGGAATGAGAAAGAAGCCGAGAGAGGCTACGGAGGAGATGACAGAAGGCCTCAAAGTCCACCAGGGACTGGTCTGCAGGGTGGCAATAGAATTGGCAAGAGTGTGGTGGTCTGGAGACATTGCCAATAAAAGGTCTTGTTAATTGATATCATTTAGCAAGTGAATGAGAAAAAAAACTCACTGCTGTCAAGCTGGATCTGACTCATAGCGGCCCCTCCTTGGGTTTCCAAGCCAGTATCACTATGGAAGTAGACTGCCCAACCATTCTTCCAAGGAGTGGCTGGTGGGTTTGAATTGCCAGCCTTCTGGTTAGCAGTCAAATGCCTTAGGCACTATGCCACCAGAGAGACAAGGCCAAAAGCCTTGGAGTTGTCCTCGACTCCTTTCTCCATGCTCTGTGCCAAGACCTGCTGGCTCCTCCTTCAAAACGCATCGGAAAATAACTCTCCCCACCCCTCCTCCGCTCCTGCTGGCACGGGCCACTGTCAGAGCTCGCCTGGATCACTGCAATGGCTCCTAAGAGGTTCTCCTGCTTTTACCCGTGGTCTCCCCATCAGTTCCCACACAGCAGCGGGGATTATGATAAAACATGTTTAATAATACATATATACTATGTAAGGAGCTCTGGTGGCACTGTGGTTAAGGCATTAGGCTGCTAACCAAAAGGCCGGTAGTTTGAACCCACCAGCTGCCCTATGGGAGAAAGATGAAGTGAAGTAGTGTAAAGATATCAGCACTGGGAACACTATGAGGGTCACTGTGAATCAGAATGGAATTGATAGCAATGTGGTTTTTTTTTAATATATACTTACATGTGTTTATATATGTGTGTGTGTGTATATACCTACGTAACACATTAATGTAGTATCGTAATAGCATGTCACTCTTCTGCTCAAATCCACCATGCTCCCACTTCTCTGGGAGTCAGCATCGATGTAACACGCTGGCTCGTGCCCGCCCTCCCACTTGCTCGTGACGCTCACCTCAGGGCCTTTGCACCTGCTGCTCCCTCAGTCTGCAAGTTTCTCAATTTTCCTCGAATCTCATTCCTTCACTTCCTTCAGGTCTTTTCTCAAATACCAGCTTCCCTGAGGTTTACCCTGACCCCCGATTGAAAACCCAACAGCACCTGCCTTACCCGGAGCTCCTTTATTCCTTTCTCTGCTTTACCTTTCTCCACGGCACTTAAGCAAACATACCACGTGTTAGCCGGGAAATGTTGGGCAGGAAGGTTGAACGGGGGCCAGCCAGAGGGCAGCCCGAAGGGAGGAGAAAGGGGAAAGAGGCGGAGTATCTGTAGAAGTTAACAAGCTAATACCTATAGAAACCTGTCCAGCTCCTGCATGGCCTGTTGTTGTTGTTGTTGTTGTTATGTGCATCGAGTCGGACCCAACTCATAGCGACCCCTCCTTGGGTTTCCGAGGCAGTATCACTATGGAAGTAGATTGCCCCATCTTCCTTCCGAGGGGTGGCTGGTGGGTTTGAACCTCCAGCCTTCTGGTTAGCAGTCAAGTGCCTTAACCACTATGCTACCAGAGCTCCCAAAACCAAATGCACTGCCATAGAATCGTTTCCAATCCATAGCAACCCCCATAGCGTTTCCAAGGCTGTGAAACTTTATGGAAGCAGACTACCTCATCTTTTTCCCGTGGGGTTGCTGGTGGGCTCAAACCACTGACCTTTTGGTTAGCAGTCAAACGCCTTAACCACAGTGCCACCAGAGCTCCTTCTGCATGGCCTAGCCAATCCAAATTAAGCAGAGTAACCACGGGCCCAGGAAACTTGAGGTTTCAATAAAGTCCCTAACTTGGAGTGTGCGCTAAAGCCTCATGTTCTCACACAGACATAGTTCCGTATCATTATAACATCATCACAATATAATTATCATCACCTTCTTTTTGCGGGTTCGGGCTTTTGGACACTGGCTGAGCTCAGAAGGGCTCTCAGGGACCTGTCAATCAACCTGTCACTCAAGGGACTCACTCCACCTTAAGAACACCCCCTCCTACCCCTTCGTGCCCCTTAGTTAGTATAAAACCCACAGAAGTTGAACAGCTTGATGTCTTTTCCCATTTGGTGGGAAAAACCCGTCTCCACCCTTTTGGACACGCCCTTTGCTTTCAGAAGTCTAAGTCCATTTCCGTGCATTAAGACCTGTTCTGTCTGTGGGACGTACTATGTTTATAATAAAGGATTACATGCTTGTGGACGGATGCTTGTGATACAAGTTTGTTAATCTGCTGCCAACACCGTCGCCCACCATCACCGGCTCCTGCTGCCCACCCATGGATCACCCGCTCGGAGATTCTTCCCACGAGTAGGGTGAGGCGAGGCATTGAGGCTAGCCGCCTTGGACAACAACATATACTTAAGTTTTTTGTTTTTCTCCTCCACTTGAATGAACGCCACAAAAACAATGATTCTTGTCTGTTTTGTTTACTGCTTTTTCTCCAGTGTCCCAGTATCTGGTGTATAACAGGCTGTTCCATGATATTTGACGAATTAGCGCAGTGGTTCAGTGGTAGAAACTTGCTAGCAAAGGAAATCACAGGTAGTTGGACCTTAAAGTGCCTGTCAGGCTCAGGTTGTCAAGGAACTGACAGCTCACTCCAGCCTAAAAGATGGGAAGTTAATCTGCAGAGTCGGTAAAGGAATGAGCCTAGCAGAGAGAGCAGCTTGTCTCGAGGTCCAGAGTGAAGGAGTTCAAGGAATAGACCTTGTAGTGGCTGGAGTTTGGTGCTGGAGGTGGGGAGATACTAAAAAACCCGTGATCCCAGCTCACGGTGACCCCGTGTGGTTCAGAGAACTATGCTCCACTGGGTTTAAATAGCCATCGCCTTTAGGAAATGGATTACCAGTGCTTTCTTCCAATCCACGGAGTAGATTCAAACCACCAACCTTCTGGATAATAGTCAAGCACTTAACGGGTTGCCATCATCCAGGGATTCCGGAGGTGGAAAGCAGGAGGGCTGCCAACTTAGGCCTAAACGGCATCCTGAAGCCTCCAAGAATTTTAAGCGAGGTTGACGGGGTTACCAGATATGCCAGGCTGCAGTCAGTTGGGGTACTCCGTTGAGAGTGGGTCAGACGGGGAGTGGGAAGAAAGAGGCTTTGAGCATAGATTGGATGCTTAATGCGCAGGACAGCGTGTGAAGACAGCATGGCCAAGGCCTTCAGCGTTGCGCCCCCTTCTGACTCGTCATGCGGACCCTTTGTTCCAAGAACTATTCGTTGACCTGGGAAGCCCTTTCATCCCAACGATCCGGTACCGGTCCTGCAGGCCCATCTCTTTTCCCGCTTTAAGAACCCTGTCGCTCTTTCGGGGTGCCTGCCCTTCTCCCTCGCATTTGGGGATGGCATTTAAAGCCCTACCACTGCGCGGATCGCCAGCAAGTGCTCAAATACCTTATTCAACTTTTACATCAGAAATAATGACGGCAGCTCCCTCGCAATAAGCGCGCGCCGGTGTTGATTGCTTTACTGTATGAGGCTCCCCCTACCCGACACTACCAAACCCTCGGCCCCGAGAGGCTGACAGAGGGGGTTCGGGTTCATAAACGAGACCCGGCTGGCCAGCCATCCCGCCCGGGAGAGATCCCAGATGGGCCCAGCCCGAGCTCCAGCTCTCGTCACTGCCACGCGGTAGTGGCAAAGCCGGCGTCCGAGGCCAGTACGTCATACTGAGCTGGCGCCTGGCGACCCAGGGCAAGGGAGCGCGGCCCCTTGCCCCGCGGGGAAGGTCACGCCGCCGGCTGGGACCCGACGCCGAGGACCGTTACTGAAGAGGGAGCAAGCCAAGCGCCCAACAGGGCTAAGCAAGAACTGATTCCTAACCCCAACCATGCCGCGCGTCTACAGCACCGGCAACAGAGGGCGACTGCTTGACTCGGAAAACCAACGGACCGGACACTGCCTTTTGACAGACAACAAATTAATCCTATCAGCGCAAGGTGTTGGCAACTCTCCGCCCAATTGAATTTTTTTTTTAATCTGAAGGCGGTTGCGTCAGGAACTCCGTCAGCCCAATGGCAGAGGTGGAAATTTCCAGAAAGAACTGAACCAATGGGTGCGGCTACAGAGGCCAAGATTGATGCAGCAGACGACCAATAGCTGTCGCAGAAGCCCGTCCCTTCTACCAATCACAGAGCGTGAGAAGGCGGGACTTGTTGCGGAGGGCCCAATCTCAAGGAGCGGAGGAGGCAGGGCTGAGGGGATTTCTCTCCATTACCCAATGAGAGGGAAGAAAACATGATAAACTGGGCCTCAAGCCAATAGTAGAAGAAAGCAAAGAGCCCCCAGAAGGAGCTCGACCAGTGAGCAGGCGAGGAAGGGGCGGGAGCCGGGGTCCCGGCAGCTTCTAGTAGGTTCCAGAAGGCGGCGCGTGCGGTTGGGAACACTGAGCGGACGGGTTCGATTCAACGGGGTTCCGGGCCGGGCTATGGAGCAGGTGAAGGGGGGGGCGGGCTGGAGCACCGGGGCTGCTCCGTGACGGGCCGAGCTGGACTGCGGCCGCAGGGGGCCGGCGGGGGCGGGTGCCCGACCGCGAGGCTGGGGCGAGCCAGTGGCGATGGGGACGCGAGGGCGTGAGGGCCGCGGCCGCCGGGCGGGAGGTTAGGGGTGCAGCGAGGCCCGCGCCGCCGGCCCGCGGAGAGCGCCAGAGCCACGCCAGCGCTTATCGCCTCCGGAGCCAGCAGAGGGCCGGGGGAGAGGCAGCGGTTCAGCGTAAAACTGGCCGGTGGCGGGAAGAGGGGTTGCGGCCCCCCGAGGCCTCCCAAGGGGTGGCTCCAGCGGGGGTGGGGGAGGATGGTGCCGCGGCCCTGGGAGGGACTGAGGTGGCGAGGGGCCTCGGCAGAAGCCAGAGAGCTCGAGTCGGTATCAGGGAATTGGCGCTCACGGGGATCGGAGATTGCTGCCAACAAGCCACCCCGGGACGTGGCCCCCATGAACTTAAAGGAATCCAGGGATCGGGACGGAAGGCACTGCAAGTAGCGGAGCGACTTAGGAGCCGGGGATCCAGTTGGGGGAAAACTACTTTTTCGCATCTGAGCTTGAGTGTCGAGTGGAGCAGAAGAAGGAGCGGCGGGCTGACTGCCTAGTGCAGGGCCCGGGAGGGCGCCGCCGAAGTCGGTGGAAGCGCTCACACCTCTGCCGGCGTTTGCAGACGTGTGTTTGACCCCTCTTCCCCACTTATTTTTGTGTGTGGGTGATTGTACGCCGACTGAGGTCGGACCCTTTTGAAAGGTCGGTTTCTGATTACGCCAGGAGGAATTGGCCCCGAAAGAAGATTGAACTTATCGGTGGAGCTAAAATCAAATGATTTGCCACCACTCAGGATTTTGGGGGCCGGGCTTGAAGCTGCTGCTGGTTGGTTTCCGTGATTTCGTTTGGTCCTCATGGCCTGTAGGTCGTGGGTTCAGTTGGAAGCTGACAGCAAGAAGGATTGATTGGGCGGGGGGAATTGAACACCGTTTTTCTACGGTGGGGTGGATGTACAAAGCTGGACATCTTAGTTCTGATGCAGAGATGATTCTTCTAGCTAAGCATGTCTTATTAAGTGAGAGTGGAAATGGAGAGGCTAGCTAACTTTTTGCCCCATTGGACGCAGCTGAGATTAAGTAGGCTGTAGTGTAGGCAAGAAAGGGGGTGTTCCCACGGTTACCACAGTGGAGAGAAATCACGCTGCAGAGAGATGTGTGTGCGGGGACAGCAAAGTTCCATGACAGGTGTGCCTGTCTAGTTCCTAACCTGGTGAGGCTGACATCTTGAACCCGTTCCTGAAAATAAACCTGGCTCTGTCTCGTTTGCAATTTCAGCTCAGAGCCATATTTCAGGTTTAGGAACGATTCAGGTTGCATGTTTTTTTTTTTTTTGAATGTCCATTTAATCCAAAACATACATACCCACTGAGTTTTTTTCTGACTCACCACAGCCCTGTAGGACAGTAGAACTGCCCCCATAGAATGTCCAAGGCTTAGCCTTTACAAAAGCAGGTTGCCTCGTCTTTCGGCTGGTGGGTTTGAACTACCGACCTTGTGGTTAGCAGGTGAATAACTTAACCACTGCTGCACCGTTGAACAAAACAGTACTGGTCCATCAAGTGCCTAAGGGGGCTAGTGTTTTCTGTTTCATTTGTTCTCTTAAAATGCTAGTTACGACTTACAGAGTTGGTTCCCTACTCGCTGCGGGGCACTGCTTGGTTTGTGAAGTACTGGTCTGTAGGATAGACAAAGTTCCTTGGTGGCGCAGTGGTTAAACGCTCAGCAGCTAACTGAAAGGTGGGCAGTTCAACCTGCCAGCAGTTCCATGGGAGAAGGATGTGGCGGTCCCTACAGGAATGGTTCAGCTCTGTCCTGTAAGGTCACTATTGACTTGACTTCATGGTAACAAGTTTGGTTGTGTCCTCTCCTCCCCCAACAGGATAGATGAACTTCAAGTTGCTTTTCAGCTGCCTTTTGATAGCAGTTGAGTTTGGTAACATTCTACCTCTGGCCTCCATCCTCGTTCAGATTCTTGCCTGGCGCTCCGGCTGCCCTTCTCCGTTGCCTCAGATCTCGCTGGTTGGTGGAGGTTCTCAGTGCTTCAGGGCTCCCAGACCCTTTCTCTTAACCGAATCTTTTCTGGAATCTGTGTACTGGGTCATGTGACATCGTCTGACCTCGCTGAACATTTGCATTTTGGGGAGAGCCTGGAGGTGTGCCTCCTCCCTCGGGTAGGCTGCTCTGGGCACCTGACCTTGAGGGGAAGGGCAGAGGTCCCCTTCGGTTTTTTGGTTAAACCTGCTGGTGTGTTCCTGCCTCTCCCACTCTTAAATGGTGGCGAAGGTAGGGGACTAAGCCCCCCGCCTTCGGTAATACGTGGATTTCTAGGCATGGCAAGAGAGGAGTGATTTTTAGGGGCCTACCTTTCTTCACCCCTTAAGGAACAGCGTTAAATGACCACGTGGTGGCGTGTCACCATGTGGGCACTGGGGGAAGATTGTCTGGTGGGAGGCCCTGAGGAGGGGCAGCCTTGGCCTTGCTGAAACCTCGGGGACGGGGCGGAAATAGAGCCACCTCCATTGTGTTCGGTTTCCCTTTAGGACTCTGGAAATCTCGTATGGGAACGGACTTTTACACTTAAGGGGCTCCTGGGCACAGCCTGGCACGGCCTCATCTGCTCCGCGGGAGGGGCTGGGAAGAGGGGCGTGAGTTCCCTAGTCCCGGCAGGAGAGCTGGTGGGGTGCCGGTGCCGGCCTGGCCCTGCTGCTCTGTGGTTTCCTCCTGCTGACTCCTGCCCGAGCCCTCTGATCTGTGGAGTGACCCGTTGGGTGATACCTGCAGGAAAGAACGAATTTCATCTGCCAGCTTGAACCAAAGCAGCAGGTTATGGCGAGAAACTCTTGGCACCTGGTGGGTCCTTCTCCGAGCGTTGGAACTTGTTCTCGTGGTTTCAGGTAAACGAGCTGAAGGAGAAGGGCAACAAGGCCCTGAGCGCCGGGAACATAGATGACGCGCTGCAGTGCTACTCGGAGGCCATCCGGCTGGACCCGCACAACCACGTGCTCTACAGCAACCGCTCGGCGGCCTACGCCAAGAGAGGAGACTACCAGAAGGCCTACGAGGACGGCTGCAAGACCGTGGACTTGAAGCCTGACTGGGGCAAGGTACGCTGCCGGGGCTCTGGGGCCGGTGCCCAGAAAACCTCGTGGTGCTGGGAGGCCTCCCGGGTTGCCTGTCCACCCTCCTCCCCGCCTGAGTGCGTTCCTCCCCGTGTCAGCGTATCTGGTCAGACCTGAGAAACCGTCCATCGTAAGATGCGTGCTGCTTTCTGTACAAATAGGAAGGAATCAGAGCCGCTGATCCCAAGGCGAGGGATCTTTGGCATTTCGTTGGAGTCTTACAGACTCTGCCTTGGCGTTGTGTTCTGTTCCCCTCTGTTTTCTCTTGGAGTTCATCTTCCGCATTTACCTCTGAACCTCCAAAAACCCAAACCTGTTGTCAGTGAGTCAGTTCAACTTGAAATGACTCCATAGGACACAGTCAAGCCGCCTCACGGTTTCCAAGGCTGTAAGTCTGTGGAAGTAGACGGCCACCCCTCTCCCACAGAGCAGCTGGTGGGTTCAAACGGCCCCTCGTGGTTAGCAGTCGACCACTGAACCACGGCATCGCTAGGGCTCCCTGGGTTTACCTCCGGGTGACCCTCCTTCTGTTTTGTGTTTCTCTTTACCGTTTTAAGGGCTATTCGCGAAAAGCAGCTGCTCTCGAGTTCTTGAACCGTTTTGAGGAGGCCAAGCGAACCTATGAGGAAGGTTTAAAACATGAGGCGAGTAACGCCCAGCTCAAAGAGGGTTTACAGAACATGGAGGCCCGGTTGGCAGGTAGGCCCCTGTATGCGTGTTTTTCCTACTACTTCATTGACTTCATTTGTTTTAAGGCAGAGTATCCCCTGGGCGGTCAGTCTGGCATGCTCGGGGCACATAACTGGAGGGACTGCAAATCACGATTCTTTTCCTTTGTTTGGAACAGAGAGGAAATTCATGAACCCTTTCAACATGCCCAATCTGTACCAGAAGTTGGAGGGTGATCCCAGGACAAGGGCACTACTCAGTGACCCTTCCTACCGGGAGTTGATCGAGCAGCTCCGGAACAAGCCATCTGATCTGGGCACGTAAGTCCAGGCAGTGTGTTGGATCTCGGGGAATGGGCGTGAGTGTGCGCTGTCTGCCTGGGGCCTGGTGGCAGAGCGCTCCTGGTTCAGACTGCTGGGGTCCGGGTATCACCTTTTCTTGACAGAGTGAGGGTGGCAGGGTATTTGTAGACAAGGTCCGGGGCATGTGGATCAGTGATCGGGACCGTTCCTGTAATGGACGTGTGCCTTCTTCCTTGGCCCCTGTGATTCGTACCTGGCACCACGTGTCCTTCCCATGCACACAGGCCCCACTCTCTGTGGCTGTGCTGAACTGGAAATGGGGTTGAGCCCTCAGGTGCAGTGTGTCTCCGGAGCTTGTACTGGTGTCTGTCCCTGAACCACTGTGCTTTCTGAGCTCAGATAGGACGGGATTCCTGTAGTAATAATCCGCTGTGTATCTGCTGGCTTCCAGACAGAAACCGGTGTTCTTTTCCTTCGTTTGAAAAGGATTTTTGAAGGATTGTGTGTTTCCCAGCTGTCACTGGGCAGTAGTCATCCTTCTGATGGGGAAACACCCTGTGGGTAGGAGCGAGCCTAACTTTGCTTTAGATTCAAGTCGAGGTTATGGGAGGTGGTGGGGAGGGCTGCTCGCCATCTTTTCCCTCATCGATATTCCAGGAAGCTGCAAGATCCGCGGATCATGGCCACACTCAGTGTCCTCCTCGGGGTCGACCTGGGCAGTATGGATGAAGAGGAGGAGGTCGTGGCACCCCCACCACCACCACCTCCCAAAAAGGAGACCAAACCGGAGCCGATGGAAGAAGATCTTCCAGAGAATAAGAAGCAGGTCTCGTTGTCTTTCCCTCTCGCTGTCGCAGGTTTATGAACAACTTGGCCAGTAGAGATAACCTGTCGTCACACAGGGTCCATGATTTCTTTTCGTGCTAGCCACCATGGGAAATGCTCTTGAGTTAAGTTGTTTGCTGTTAGGAAACTCTGCTTATGGCAGCAAGGGGCATGTCTCACCTATGGTTGTACCACCGACGTGTTGAATCAGGGACTTGAACCCGGTCTAACTGCAGTTGACCCTGCCTGGGAACTGGACAGCAGGTGGTGAGCACGGTGTGTTGCTGGGCCTTGGTTTGTGGACCTCTCAGTACCCTGAGTAGGTGGCAAACGGAGGAGTTCAAAGGAAGCTCTGAGACACACTACACCTGAGGCTTCAACCCTGTTTCCACTTCACAGGACGGGGGGGTGGTGGTGTCGGGAGCCACTGACAGTCACTTGAGGGGCTTATTGCTCTTTCTGCAGCTTTGTTTGAAAAACAAGTCACCCTGGGGCAAGTATCCAGTGCCTGGGAATCACCTCCCTCTGTTCCCCTTGATGGAAGCGGTTAATGTTGGAAGCCGTTAACGTGTTAAAAGGCCCGCTTCACTTGAGATTGGGTGCTGGTGTTTGTGGAGACTTCAGGGTGGGGTGTGTTGCCTCAGCCACCGTGGGCTGCTGGCGTACTTAGTGGTCCTGCCTTGACCCAGAACAGCAGCTCCTCAGTGTTGGGGCTCCTGCTTTCTGATCAGATGTGATTCTAGTTGAAAGTTGTCCACTTAGCAACAGCGTCTTGCAGAGTGGGAGGTATGTGCGTGAACGGTTTTATTTCCTTCTTTGTAAATTGAACAGCAGATTGTTGCCAAATTTAGTGCCTTTAACTGGGTGAGCCTTGGTTGGTCGGGGTGTCTCCAAGCTGGAAAAAGGCCCCACAGTGCGGGGATGGTGAGCGATGACAAAGACTGCCACGGTTATGGGCCCTTTTCTTCGTCTGTCCTCCGTGTCTGCGTTGTTCCCTGACTGAGCCCCTGACACAGCCCCACTACAGAGCCCAGACTTGCTCCAGGCGCTCAGAATAAAATGGAGTGTAACCACACTGTCCTTGACAATGGCTTCAAGTTGAAGGGTCTTCTCTCTCTAACAAACTTCAGGAGAGTAGGTGGCGAAGGGAGGAGTTCAGAGGAAGCAAACATGAAACCTGAAAGGGATCCTCCGAATCCCTGTATCTCTGACTGCCGGCGTTGCACTGTTGCGACTTGTGTTCAGATTCAGAGACGCAGGCCTCTGGAGGGCGGGGGAGACTGGCTCCTGAGCCGCGCTGGGTGCACACGTTGTCTCGGTACCTGTGACGGGTCCGAAACTCTCAGCCGCTCTGCTCTGCTCTCTGAGTTTGATTTGCTCAGTGCTCGCTTTTTCCGATCTCATCCAGGCGCTGAAGGAAAAAGAGTTGGGGAATGATGCCTACAAGAAGAAAGACTTTGACACAGCCTTGAAGCATTACGACAGAGCCAAGGCTCTTGACCCCACCAACATGACCTACATTACCAATCAAGCAGGTGAGGCTCAGAGCCCGGGGGCAGGAGACTGGTAGGCATTTTTGAGGGCTGAAGCAAGGATTGACTGTTTCCCTCTTCACCATCCTGCCGGCAGCCGTGTACTTTGAAAAGGGGGACTACAACAAGTGCCGGGAGCTTTGTGAGAAGGCCATCGAGGTGGGGCGGGAGAACCGGGAAGACTACCGACAGATTGCCAAGTACGCGCAGCCTCTGGAGTTCCTGGGGTGGAGTGGAGAGCCCAGCGTCCACGACTTAGATTGCCCCCTCATGGGGAGAGGGCTTTCTTTCTGGCTCTGCAACCCCCGTTTTTAAGAATGGGCTGGAAGAGAGGTTGCGGGAGTCAAGATGGCAATGTGGAGGGGCTTGGTGCAGGTGGCTTTTTTTTTTAAGGAGTGACCTGGTCTCTGGTCCCGCCCTCATTGCAAATGCTTTGTTCTCTTGCCTTTCTCAGAGCTTACGCTCGAATCGGCAACTCCTACTTCAAAGAAGAGGCGTACAAAGACGCCATCCATTTCTATAACAAGTCCCTGGCCGAGCACCGGACCCCAGATGTGCTCAAGAGGTGCCAGCAGGTGGGTGGTGAGAGACTGCGGGGGTCCTCGGTTCATCGATCATTACTAACTGTTTTCATTTGTTACTCAGTGTACATCCTACTGTTCCATAAGGCACCTGAAGATTATCTCGGGTAGCGGCTCTGTGTCCTCCACGTGCTGCCTGTAGGGATAACAAGCTGTGGAACTCATCTGGCTTTCTTGACTTTTTTTTTTTTAACTGACTCAGCAGTGGATTTGGGGGGTTTGTATTTATTCGCCCAGATCTGAACCTTCGATGTGCAGATGGTGGCGGAATCGGTTTCCCTTGTTTTGTGACGTGGTCCTATGGCCATGCTGTGTGCACACACTTCCTCAGTGCCTGTGATTGGCACGTTGTGTTGATTGTCATAGACTACGGAGGGGTTTGTTCGCACAGAAAAGGGGGCCAGCCAGCCAGCTGTGCTGTTGATGCATGGATCCTTTCCATACAGGCATGTCTGTTTCACCTGATAATGAGGAATGTAAGATTATTAAAACAAAAAATAACCAGCAAGGGTCTTTGAAAATTAAAATCCTGTTCAGGCTCTGCAGCAGTTTTTTTAGCGGGTTCTGGACATGTAGGTGACTGTCCCAGTCGCTGTGTTTTTTCAGGCTGAGAAGATTCTGAAGGAGCAAGAGCGGCTGGCCTACATAAACCCCGACTTGGCCTTGGAGGAGAAGAACAAAGGCAACGAGTGTTTCCAGAAAGGTACCCAGCGCCCAGGCTGTCCACGTGGCGGGTGGGAAGGTGCCGCCGACCTTGCAGTGGCTGAGTGGGAGGTGGCAGCCTTTTGTTTTTTAAAAGAATGGTCTGTCTGGTTTCCTGTCCAGGGGACTACCCGCAGGCCATGAAGCATTATACAGAAGCCATCAAGCGGAACCCCCGAGATGCCAAGCTGTACAGCAATCGGGCTGCTTGTTACACCAAACTCCTGGAGTTTCAGCTGGCCCTCAAGGTGAGGAGCTGCAGGAGCCGGGCCCGGCAGAGAGGCCGCTGTGCTGCCCCAGTGTTTTATCGGCATCAGCTCGATGTGCTGGGGGGCGAGGGGTAGTTCTGTTTTATTGTGATTACAGTGACAGTTGACGTAGCCGTTTAGGGTCCACATTGAGCTAGCTTCCCTGCCTGCTTACTTCCTGGTAATTTATTTTAAAGTCTTCGTTGACCGTTTGGTCTCATACATGAGATGTTTTAAAGGCACACAGTATTTGTTGGTGATGTTGACTGTTTTCTGAGCCAGTCTGTTAATTTAGCTACAAGGTGACCTTGGGTTGGCTTTGGTTCGAGGTTTGAAAAGTTTTGAGTAGTTTCGGGGAGTCCTCCAGTCTCACCTAATGCAGTGAGTCGGGCGTTTCTGGCTGGTCGAGGGGACAGATTTGAGGCTCTGTTGCTCGTGTTTCTATCTGGTGTTCTTGTTGGGGTTGTGAATGTACAGTGGGACGTGTGGATTGTAAGGTACAGGGCCTCTCTCTGTCTGGTCCTGGCCCGTCGCCTTATTGGTGGTTAGGGAACGTGGGGGAGTGGGGCCTTCCCACCTTCTCTGAGGCCGCGGGTCCTTTGCCCTGCCACGGTCCTTCCCCACTCTGACATTCAGCTCGGCTGGGAAGTCGTCTGTGCCCGGTCATGTCAAGTGTGGTCCAGTGTGATGGTGTTGCACACTGTGGCATAGCTCCCCATCATGTGCACTGTTTTGTGCCTCTTGAGAGACTCTGTGACTACTCTAGCAGACAAACGTGGGCCACCTTGTGGGAAGGTGACGGTGTAACCTATCGAGAGCCACCAGCACCTGGACCCTTGTTGGTCTTAGTTTGACTGCCACTGTCTGTCTTCTGGGGTTTTAGTCTGGCTGGAGATGTTCCTGTGGGTGGTAGGACCAGACAAGTACTGTGTCAAAAGCACAGTGGTTGTGAAGCAAAACAGCAAAGTCCGCACCTCCTCCTGTGAGCGCGCAAGGAACCAAGCCGGTCGTGCAAAATCAACAGTTAATACATCGATCTTTCTCATGGAACCGTTTGTGAAAGGAAATTTGCCCGAATTATAACACTTCACCTCTGAGTTCTTGAGCAGGCTTCTCGGAGGTGTCTCCGGTCCGGTCACAGCACTGCCGGCCCTGCTGACGACGTCTGCTGTGTAGCTGAGTCAGGTTTTCCCGCATGTGCCCTGTCGAGGTCTGCACATTTCATCGATCTTTTTCTAGTTTTTGATGTTAACTGTAGGCGTGTTGAGAGGAGAAATTAACTCCCAGGTGAGGGCATCATGTTCGGGAAGGTAGAAGATAGGGAAGAGAGGAAGACTCCGCAGCAGATGGACTGACTCGGGCTGCGGCGTGGCCTCAAACGTGGCAGCCGTCCTGAGGCTTGGGACCAGGCAGCGTTTGGCTGTGTTGTACATGGGGTCCCCAAGAGTCAGAGCCAACTCAGTGACATCTAACAATGACTCGTTTCTGAGCCTGGAGCAGTGTTGTAGTTCCCTAGTGCTGTCTTGAGGGAAAACACTGTAATTTGGTGGATTTAAAGAACAGGAATTACCTTCTCACGGTTACGGAGACTAAAAGGCCCTAAAAAGGATCCTATGTCAGGCTTAGCCATGCCACGTCCTCCGTGAGCCTCCCCTGTGTCCTGGTGTCTGCTATCATCCTTGGGGGCTCCTTGCACGTAAGACAGACCTTCACGTGCATCTCTCTTCCCTGTGGGTCTGCGTTGTTTGTTTGTTTGTTTTTTGTTTTCTGTGGTTTTTTTTGTGAGATACCACTCAGCAGTGACGAGCCTCAGGCTCTATCCTGCTCCGGTGTGACCATGGTAACAACGGAAGAACCCTTCTAAGTGAGGCTGGATTCAGAGGGATGGGGTTAGGACGCATTTTGGAAGGACACGTGTATTTCCCCACCTTCACAGTTTTTCCTAACTTTGTTCCGTGATCAGGATCCATTTGTCCTTTTCATGTCCGTGCCTACGTCTGCTGTGTGCTTTGCGTGCTGTCCCGTAGCCCGGGTGGTGATGCGAACAGACGCTGGACATGAGCGGCCGCTCTGCAGAGTCTGGCTGGTGGCTGGTGGCCTGCCTGCCATAGGTTAGCTCGTTACGGGACTGGGCCTCATTCTTTTCCTCCTCCTCTTAGGACTGTGAGGAGTGTATCCAGCTGGAGCCAACTTTCAGTAAGTGCTTTTCTTGCTGCCTCTCCCGTCTCTTGACTCTGACCTCAAGGTGAGGGCACGGAAAGGCACGTGGTGTCTGCTGGTCTCCTGGGGCCTGCAGCAGTCGGGGGACCTAGCTTACAGCAGGGGTGGGGAGCATGGATGGAAGCGGTGGGAGAGGCCACCCTTAGACCTGCGTTTTGGGAACTGCCTCACCTTCTGTCTGTCTGCAGTCAAGGGTTACACGCGGAAGGCGGCTGCCCTAGAAGCCATGAAGGACTACACGAAAGCCATGGATGTCTACCAGAAGGCACTCGACCTGGACTCCAGCTGCAAGGTGGCCGCCCCGTCGCTCCTTGGTTCCTTGGTGTCTTCACTGAGTCCTCCTCTCGCCTCTGTCGTTCATAAGCTCATCTCTCTTTTCCCTCCTTGGTGCCCTGTCACCTGCTGAAGCAGTGACCCAGGCAGTGCTGATGTCTCCCCTTGGTCTTTGCTGGTGTGTAGGAGGCGGTGGACGGTTACCAGCGCTGCATGATGGCCCAGTACAACCGGCACGACAGCCCTGAGGACGTGAAGCGACGGGCCATGGCCGACCCCGAGGTGCAGCAGATCATGAGTGACCCGGCCATGCGGCTCATCCTGGAGCAGATGCAGAAGGACCCCCAGGCGCTCAGCGAGTACGGGCGGGGGGGCGAGGGGTACTGCACGGCATGCGCATGGCGCGGCGGGGGGGGGGGGGCTTGCTGTCTACTCTCACTTGGGAGGTTGGCAGCTGGTGGGGACCTGGCAGGTGTGGTGGGCATGGCAGCCTAGGCTGTCGGTTGAACAGACCCATTCTGCTCAAGGAAGGTCTTGTGTTGAAGCAGTGTCCGTGGACTCCGCAGGGGGAACTGGCACACTTCTGCCAGCAAGGTCTCCACCAGGTGGCGTCCACGCCCCTGTGGCGTCTTGTAGGGTTTTGATGGGGTTGCTTTAAGAGCAGGCAAGACTTTGAAAGTTGGGTTTCACTCCGAGCCCGTCTCCTCTCCACCAGACACTTGAAGAACCCAGTGATAGCACAGAAGATCCAGAAGCTCATGGACGTGGGTCTGATAGCGATTCGGTGATGACGCGCCCGGCCCCTTCCCTCCGCCCCACGCGGAAAGAAGAGCTGGGGCCGTGCTGGGCAGGAGGGGGCAGGGGAAGGAACACGAGTCTATTTATGCTCACCTCCTGGAAGACCAGAGCCTCGCACTCCGTTGTTCACACAGCCGCCGCCTCGGCCCTCCCAGCACACGCATGGCCTCCTCACCGCTGCCCTCGGTCCTGTGGCTCCGCCCCTCCTCTCAGTCACTGTCTCGGCTGCTCTCCCTAGTTGGTTATTCTTATTTGGGACAGCGGGCACATGGGGAGGGGAGGGTATTCTTCCCAACCTCGAGTCCCAGCTGTCTTCACGTTGTTAACACCACGTCCTCTTCAATAAAACAAGCCAGTTGGGCGTGGTGACATGTTGAAGTGGCTTTCAAGTTCTTGATTTGCGAGGGGATGCCCCGCACAGCTTGTGTCCTGGGTTGGAAGGGTGTGTGACTGAGCAGAAGCAGGTCTTTCAGACGGCCACTGGAAACTTGGCAGGGTTCATGGCCTTGCCAAGGTCGTCAGTAGGTGGTACTGTCACTCATTTTAATAGAAGAGACACGGAACTCTGGGAGGTGCAGAGAAACAGTCCCAGGCCGGGACTTGGGAACCTTGATGTCAGAGTCAGAAACCAGCCAGGTTATACTCCATCCAACCCGAGAGCAAGGCTTCCTGTTGTGAGGGATGGTTATACCTCTCACGTGGAGGGATCACCATGCTGTTTGCAGATGTGTGGGTGCGTGTGCGCGCACGAGAGAGTGAGAACAGTGCTACACTTGGTGCTCGTCTCAGCACCCCCTGGGGAGACTGCTGGGACAGCAGTATAGCTTCCGCCTTCACTCCCAGGGCGCTGCCTTGGGGGCTGGGGAGGCCACGAACCGGGCCTGGCAGCTGCTGCACTTCCTGCTGCCCGAGTTTGCACAAGGCGGCTCTTCTGGGAATCCCCTGCCTCCCCCAAGCGGGCGGCCCAGTCAGAGCATCGCCTGGGGCTTCCGCCCTAGGCCGTGCCACCAGTGCTGGCCTTTCCCCACAGTGAGTCAGTGGCGAGGGGTGGCCTCTGAGGACCTACACCTTAGTGCAGGTGATGCCTTCTTGTGGGGACAGGGACACAGGACACTTGCTCAGGGACATGAACCTCACGGGTACTTGGGGAGAGCACAGTTCCCGGGGGAGGGCAGCGTGGTGGGGTCGTACTGGAACAGCTATGTGACGGGCAACAGGCTGGGGAGGCCCGTCAAGTGACCAGGGGCCGGTTTCCAGTCAGCCGTACGCCTGGACAGCTCGAAGCTTGGAAGCTGCTAAGTGTGGAAGAGGCCCTTGTCGGGCGTTCTAGGGACCAGGTGCTAGGAACTGGTACCGTCGGTGGCAGCTCCGAGGGTCTCCTTTCATAGTGGTGAGAGCAAGCCCGGCCTTGAGCTGCTGCACCTGCAGCGTGTGGCCCCAACTCCTAATGCCATGGCTCTTCAGACTAGCAACCCAGGGGACTCCTGGCCCATGAGTTCTCCCCAGCCTCAAAGACAGCTTGGCAACGGGACACGCTTCCTACAGAGGGGACCTCGTACCAAACAATGGAGGCTTCTCCAGCTTTCTTCCAGATGAGGAGTGCTGGGGTCCACACACCTCATCCATTTTTTCCCCCTACCTACTTAACTCCGCTTCTCTGCCCGTCTGGTTTCCTGTGCTCCCTGGAGCCAACGGTGTACCACGTGCACCACGGGTTTCCTGCACCCAAGCCTGCCCACCCTGGGCGGGGCCAACGCTCCCTCTGTGATCAGGAAAAGTCAAAGGGCTGCCTGTGAGGAAGGTCCAAAGAGAAAGCAGAGGGCGACAGGAGCACTCGAGGGCCTGCAGGTGTCTAGACTGAGGCCGAGTGGCTGGCACCTCCATCTGCCACCTGCAGCCCCGTGCCTGTGCAAGCCAGGTAAGTAGGGACCCTCTCCTCCTTGCCCTCCTGCCACCCCCCTGCCCAGCACGCCTCTGCACGCGGCAGCCTGAACTTTCCTCTGCCCTGGAGAGGCTGCTGCTGGCAGGTGATAGTCTCAAGTGGGTTATGGGCCACCCCACGTTCACACCACTGAGGTGGGGAGGCTGCCAGCGTGGGTCTGGAGGCAAGCACTGGCCTGGTGAGCACAGGGTTGTGTCCACTGTGAGGCCGGGCTGGGCTGGGTAATCCTGGACAAGCCTCTTCCCACTGGGCCTTGATCTTCCCACCTGTGAAATGGGAGTGGCTCGGACATGGTCTCTGAGGGTCCTTTGAACTCCACCACCGTGGGCAGTGGGCCTGAGCTTTGTTGAACAACTCGGTGCCCCTTGTCTTGCTCCCTGCTGCCACGGATATGCCGGCCTGTGGGGGCTCCCCTACCTGCCTGGCAGACCGTGGGGCTTGTGCTCGGACACGCCAGCCCCCCAGCCCCCTGGCCAACCCTGGCTGCCGCCCACCGTCCCTTGCAGAAGCAGCCGCAGCCATGGCAGGTATGAAGACAGCCTCCGGGGACTATATCGACTCGTCCTGGGAGCTGCGGGTGTTTGTGGGCGAGGAGGAGCCCGAGGCCGAGTCGGTCACCCTCCGGGTCACAGGGGAGTCGCACATTGGCGGGGTGCTTCTGAAGATCGTGGAGGAGATCAGTGAGTGTCCCACCGCCCCATCTGCTGAGCTTGGCACCATGGCTGCAGCCAGCCTCCCTGGGCTCTTCCGGGCCGGCCCTGCTGCGCCGCTCATGATAACAGTGTTGGTGACTCAGGCCCCAGCTTAATCTTTGGGTCCCAAAAAAGACGTTTCCCCAACTTCCCCTCTCTCTTGCTGTCTTCCCTCCCTTCCTCCACTTGCCGGAGTGGGGGAGTGGGGAGATGGCGTGGGCTGCTGGGCTTAGTCCCCAAGGAGCAGACCTGCTCCACTCACTCAATTCCAGGGGGAGAAGATGACCTGGGCTCAAGTGGAGGCCACATTCCTGGGTCTGTGGGTGCCCCCCCAGGGGCCCTGCTCCCACACTCCATCCCTGGGCGGGCCCAAGGGCCAGCCTGGGTGGAAGGGCCCTGCCCCCACAGGAAGTTACAGCAGAATAGCTTATGGTATCAGTCATGGAGACGCAGGCTGGTGACACAGGGGCTTCTCCTGGGCCTTGCCTGCTGGGGGTGGGAGCTTCCTGAGAGAGCAACTGGCACTCAACTGCCCGTATCGAGGGCAGGCCGGCCCCCGCGACAGATGGGCCCAGCCCAGAGCCTGGAGCCTGAGCTGGGAGTGGGGGTAGGGAAGGCGGCTCAGACCCAGGCAACCTGCACGTGTCTGTGTGGGGAGGGAGGCCGGTCTGCGGACAGGGTGGCCCTGGCCCAGCCACAAGGCTGAGGTGCCCGGGGAGCTTTCTGAAGGCAGGGCCCAAGAGGCTGCGAAAGCAGAAGTGAGGACAAAGAGTCCCTGGGGAGACGGGGCGGGGGACCGAGTCGCTGAGGCAGGGATGACCAAGCCAGGACACGGGGGGTGCAGACGCAGCGCCCGCCAGAAGAGTTGGTTGGCCCCAGGGCCTGGCACTGGGTGAAGGATGAGGTTTAAACGTGGAGTCCATGGGCGAGTTAGCCAGTAAGCACGGTACGCCGCCTCTTGCACTGAGTGAGGTATGCACGGGCTTCATGGTGCTCCCGTGCTAATCCATAGTGAGCGTTGTCACCTGGGTACACGAGTTCACCACGTCTTTGATGTGGGGAGACAGGTGCAGATTGGTGGGAAGGCACAAGGGGACTGGTGCAGACCCGGCTTATTGGGTAATCCAGCCCTGAGTCAGACAGACCGACCGACCGGCTCCTCTTCCCACTGCCTGGGACCCCTCAGGCGATGGTGACATTGTCCTCACCCCGTCCTACCTCCCAGCTGTTCCTAAGTGCACCGCGCCAGGCTCTGGCCTTCTGGAGCGTGGTAGGCAGGTGGGACTGGCCCTTAAGCTGCCCTGCACAGTGTTGGGTGCTGACAAGGCAGAAACTATCATGAGGTCCGGAGCCAGACGGATGAGGCGCCACACCCAGCCCAGGATGGGTGCTGTCCGAGGAGAAGCGATCCTTAATATGAGGCCTGAGTGGTGGACACAGCAGGGAGGAGCAGGGCACTGATGTTGGGGGGCTGGGGAGCTCTGAGTTAGGGCCTCTGGGCAAGTGACAGACGACCCTAGAGCGTGGACAGGAAACGAGGCTCAGGTGGTAGCCTGACCAGCTCCCGGAGGGCATTGAACGCCACCATACGGCTCCTGCTTTTAACCTTGGAGGTAAAGAACAGCCCCAAGGTTCCAGCAGGAGACCATCATGCTGAGCCGCCCATCTGGACAGATCCCTCTGGCAGCCAGGAGGGAGCAGGCTGGAGCAGGGAGGCCGGGAAGTAGGCTGGTGCCATTGCCTTGGCCAGAGTGGACGGGCTTCCTGAGGTTAGATGGTGAGGATGGAGGAAGGGTGGCTGTTGGAGGTGGGATTGACAATGACATGTAACAGCTAGAAGCAAAAGGGGTGGTGCTCGGGCCCCTGGTGGGGAGGTCATTATCACCCAGGCTTGAGACACAGAGAGCCTGTTGTTGTTGTTATGTGCCGTGGAGTCAGACTCGACTCATAGCGACCCCTCCTTGCGTTTCCAAGGCAGTATCACTACAGAAGTAGATTGCCCCATCTTCCTTCTGAGGAGTGGCTGGTGGGTTTAAACCACCAGCCTTCCGGTTAGCAGTCAAGTGCCATAGGCACTGTGCCACCAGAGCTCCTACAGAGAGCCTGTTGTTGTTGTTGTTGTTATTTGCCATCAGAGAGCCTAGTGAGTAGCAAAAGTGATGTGTTGGTCCAGTTCCAGGTGGGTGAGTTTGGGCTGAGTGACTTGAGGGCTGGGACTGGGGTCATTGCCTTTACGTCCCCAGCGCCCACACAGGGCCTGGAAAGCAAAGATTTCTGGAATAAAGGAAGGGAGTGGACACGTACATAGCTGATGGCTTGGGGGTTCCTGGTCTGGTGCTCAGCCAAGGGGCTGGAGGTGCCTGATTTGTGAAGCCATAGATCAGCTGAGACCCCCTCCCAGAAAGAGGCCATGGCTGTGGAAGGGAACGAGGGTCCAGGGGAAAGAACAAGTAGGGGGCAGGTCATGAGAGGAGGCAAGAGAGGCCAAAGAAGAGCAAAGGGTCAGAGAAGAAGGGGAAGTGGGTGTCCCCAAGCCCAGGACAGGCGAGGTCGGAGGCCGGGCCAGAAGGCTCGGTGAAGGCAGACGCAGAGAAGGCTCCCTCAGATTGTGCTACCCCGGTGACAGCCAGGGGGGGAGTAGGTGGGGTGCAGAAACCAGACTGGAGAGGACGAGGCATGAGTTTGAGGTGGGAGGGGAACAGACAGAGAACTAGACGATTCACAAGGAGCACTGGGAAACCGGAACAAGATGGGGGTCTGCAAACAGGAAAGGGCACTGCACCAGGAGTAGCTGTTGATACGTGGGCTCTCCTCCCGCCAGTGCATGCACCTGGATGAGAATGGAGAGGTGACTGCAAGCCATCTATTTCTGGTGTCCCCAGTTCCCAGCCAGATGACAAATGACAGGCTGATCTCTTAATGGGTGTGTGCACGTGTGACGACACTATGCACTTAGCGTGTGGCAGGCACAGGTCCACCTCCCTGGTAAATAGCAACTCACTGAGCCTTCCCCACCACCTGCGGGGTCAGAAAAATGACTACCCACACCTGAGCAACAAGAGACCAAGGCACAGAGAGCTTAAGTGTGTTGCCCAAGGTCACAGAGCTAGTAGCTACTAGTCCCAGAGTGCCCGCCCTGTGCCCAGCACAAGCCCAGGTCCTATGGTTGCAGTCGGAGCATGGCAGGCAGTCTCCACCCCTTGGAGCCCTGGGAGTGCAGGAGAGAGGCCACTATGCCAGGGACTACGGGAGGACGTGAGGTGGGCTGCACTGTATGAAGAGGAAGCTAAGATCAGGGGACCCAGATTCTAGGCTGAGGGCTCCCACGGGAAGGGATGTGGCAACTGAGCCCAGAAGGAGGATTGGGGGTTAGCTAGCAAAGAGCCCCTCTACTGCGAATGACCTTGGTCATTGGGCCTAAGCCAACCCAACATGACCCTGCCCTTGGCGTGACTGAGAACTTGGGGATTGTTTTGGTTCCCCAGTGACACTCTGACAGGAATATACCACAAATGGGATGCTTGAACAGACAGTTTATTCTCTTAAAATTGGGGAGGCTTTACGTCCATGTTCAAAGTGCCAGGCTCCAGGGGCTGGGTGAAAGCCCCTCGACCTTGGGCTTCAGCTCTGCCTCTTGCTCCCTGCCCACCGGAGCTGGAGGCTTTCTTTACTCAGGCGGCTGCTGGCTGCTGAGGCTCACAAACACAAGGTCGACAAGTAAAAGGGCACAGTCCCAATGTCACCAAAGCACATGGCAGGCCATTGATTCAAGATCATTCAGAGTCCAAGGATCAGCAGACACCATGGCAGGCTGCTGAACAATGACTTGGCTACATGCAGGGTTCAAGTGGCCAGAAGTTGCAGACCATTCGCAAGACTTCTCCTTATACACAGGAAGCTGACCACATCCCTAAGGCAGCTACTCAGCTGCTCCAGAAGATTCCACCATAGAGTTAGTTATCAGTCTCACCATGGGGAATAACTACATTCAGCTGCCCAGCCACTCAACCAGGCCCAGCTAAGGTGACACATAACCTTACTACTACGGGGGTGGTCACCACAGCTCTCTGAGGCCCAGTCTGCCCTCAGTGTCTGGGCAGAGGTGGGGAAAGCTGGTGCCCACATATCCTTTCCGTGACCCCCACAGAGCGCAAGCAGGACTGGTCCGACCATGCCATTTGGTGGGAGCAGAAAAGACAGTGGCTACTGCAGACCCACTGGACGCTGGACAAGTACGGGATCCTGGCTGACGCCCGCCTCTTCTTTGGGCCCCAGCACCGGCCGGTCATCCTACGGCTGCCCAACCGCCGCGCCCTGCGTCTGCGAGCTAGCTTCTCCCAACCCCTCTTCCAGGCCGTGGCTGCCATCTGCCGCCTCCTCAGTGAGTTCCACGGGTCCCACCCTCTCTGAGGCAGCTCTTAGCACCTCGTTCTTGCTTTTCCGGTCCCCAGGAGGTCCCGGGGGAAGAGCCGGGGTCCCCAGGGCAGGACCCTGGCTCCCTCTGAGGCCCCAGCCCCCCTCAGGTATCCGGCACCCTGAGGAGCTGTCCTTGCTCCGGACTCCTGAGAAGAAGGAGAAGAAAAAGAGAGAGAAGGAGCCGGAGGAAGAGGTGTATGACCTGTCCAAGGTCATCCTGGCTGGGGGTGAGCACAGGCAGGGCTGGGCGCCAGGGGCGGGGGCCGGGGGCCGGGGGCAGCCCCGGCTGACTCGAGCTGCCCTCCAGGTGTGGCACCCGTGCTGTTCCACGGGATGCCAGCCCACTTCTCGGACAGTGCACAGACCAAGGCCTGCTACCACATGCTCAGCCGGCCCCAGCCACCTCCGGACCCCCTCCTGCTGCAGCGCCTGCCTCGGCCCGGCTCCCTGATGGACAAGACCAAGCTGCACAGCAGGTACTGTGGCCACTGGGTCAGAACCCCTGGGGTCATGTCTCCCAGTGTCTGTTCCCTGACCCGAGACTCACTCACACTCGTGTCCGGGCTCATCGGGCCTCTCCTGTGTGTGCGCCTGTCACTGGCTCCCCTGCCGTCCCCGGTCATCGCTGTGGGGCCCTGACCCCCTCTCTGCTGTGCGCAGGTGGCTGGACTCATCACGGTGTCTCATGCAGCAGGGCATCAAGGCCGGGGACATGCTTTGGCTGCGTTTCAAGTACTACAGCTTCTTCGACCTGGATCCTAAGGTGGGCAGGGACCAGGTCAGAAAGAAACGTGGGTCTGGGGTCAAGGAAACAGAAGGCCTGGGGTTGGAACCGTAGTGACTTTAGGGGTCTGTCCATCTGTCCATTTGTCGCCAGGCCTGTTTATTAACTCCGCAAATGCTGTGCTGGGCCCTGTATGGATGCCAAGGCTATGGTAGCTGCTATCGCGTCTGTCCCAGCTGCTGGGGACCCCGTGTGTCTGAGCAGAACTGCGATCTGCAGGGTTTTCAAGGCAGAAGCAGAACTCCAGGGCTTTCTTTTGAGGGAGCTCTGGTGGATTCGAGCCACCAACCTTCTGACTAGTAGTCAAGTGAAGAACCGTTTTCAGCACCCAGGGACTGGGTGCCAAAGCAGAGAGAGACAGGTCTATGCCCCCATGGGGTGCTATGGGGAGGTAAATGATTCCACATTAGTGTAGGTAGTGTTGGGGCTACACTCGCAAGTGAGAGAGACCCAGGGAAGGCTTCCTGGGGGGGTAGCAGCACTTGGACCTGCATCCTAGGGGGCGGGCAGGGGGAGGAGCTTTGTAGCAGGGACCAGTGTTCACCTCCTCCCTGTCCCCCATACCCACCACCTCCACGGGCAGCCAACACTTTCCATGCACACCTTGCAAAGCCTCCCGGGTCCCCACAGGCCACCTACCTGTCCCCTAGTTCTCTGCTCCCCTTTGCTGCAAAACTTCTAAACACAGTTGTCTCCCAAATGCCTGCTGTCTGTGTCTTCTCTCCCACGGATCCTGCCTCCTGTTTCTAAGCCTTTTTGTGACGACACATGACCCCCCCAACACTGGCCCAATGCCCCCTCTACCCTCAGCCACATCCACTGTGGGGCCTCTGTACCAGGGGGTTTCTCTGTTGGGGTCTTGAGAGCATGGATGTCCCTGTCTTGTGTGAGCTCTGGTTACTGTCCCCCTTAGCCCACCCCACCCCCCAGCTGCTTTCCAGACTTTGTCCCCAGCCTGGGTGGTCCTCTCACACACCAGCAGCACCCAGCTAAACACTCAGAAAATCCCTGCTGGTGTCCAGACCTTGCTCTCCAAGAAGCCTCTCCCGTATTCTGCTGTGCGATTCTAAGTACCTTGGATTCTCCAAATTCCCAACTCCATCTCCTCAACTCGGGACTTGCTGGGCTCTGTTCAGGTTTCCCATCCCCAATCTGTGACCTGGAAATACTGTCCAGCAGCAGGCAAAGGCAGCTTCCAAAACCACTCAACCCCCTGCCATTGAGTCGATGGGTCTCACAGCACCCCTAGAGGACAGAGTGGAACTGCCCACAGGGTCTCCAAGGCTGTCAATCTTCATGGAGCAAAGCCCAAACCACACCCACTGCCGTGGAGTCCATTCTGACCCACAGCGCCCCTAGAGGACAGAGTGGAACTGCCCCCCAGGGTTTCCAAGGCTGTCAATCTTCACAGAAGCAAAACCCAAACCACACCCACTGCTCTGGGGTTGATTCTGACCCACAGCGCCCCTAGAGGACAGAGTGGAACTGCCCCCCAGGGTTTCCAAGGCTGTCATCTTTATAGAAGCCGACTGCCTCATCTTTCTTCTGCAGAACAGCGGATGGATTCGAACCGCTGACCTTTTGGTTAGCAGTCGAATGACCACTGCACCAGAGCTCCTGAGGGCTCGTCTTGTTGGCTTCCCTTCACCCAAAGACCACTGTCCGGGCAGCCTGTTGTCCAATGTCTACAGGCCATTTAGTCTTTTTGGTTCTTGTTTTGTTTTGATTGTGGCAAATCCATAGGTAACAAAACACCTGCCATCCCAGCAGTGTTCCCGTGGCCAGTTCACTGACATCACCGCCGTGAACTCCTCCTGAATTTTCCCATCACCCTTAACAGAAGCTCAGTGTCGCCTAAGCATTGTGTCTTCCTTTTCCCCATCTCATTTTTTTAATTCATTTTTTTTTCTCAAAGTAATATGTGATGGTTTAAAGAGTTAACTAGTCCTGCTGTGTTGTGCTGTCAAGTATGGCTTTGACTCATACTGCCCCGTGGGACAGAGTGGAACTGCCCTATAAAGTTTTCTTGGCTGTGGTCTTTAGGGAAGCAAAACTCCAAGTCTTTCTTCTGCGGAGCTGCTGCATGGGTTTGAAGCTTTCAGGTAGCATCTGGGCATGTAACCATGTGTCGTCAGGACTCCTCTCTTTCTTTATTTAAATTTTTATTGTATTTAAAATACAATAAAGCTCTGGTGGCGTGGTGCCTAAGGCATTTGACTGCTAACCAGAAGGCTGGTGGTTCAAACCCACCAGCCACACCTTGGAAGGAAGGTCAGGCAATCTACTTCCGTAGACATAATGCCTCGGAAACCCAAGGAGGGGTCGCTATGAGTCGGATGCGATTCGACGGCAGTGAGTTTGGTTTTGGCTTGGTATTGTGATTTGGGTGAAAGTTTACTGAGGAAATTCATTTTCCATACAGTAGTTCATACACATTTTGTTTCATAGCACGGACTGCAATTCCCCACAATGTAACAGCTCTCTTCCCACTTCCTCCCCATAGTTACCTCTTTCCCTGTCCTTCCCCACACCATGCACTTCTGCCCCCGGAGCTGTCTCCCTGTGCAAACGGTGCCCTTCTGTTCTCCCGTGATTGATCACTCTAAGGAGTGTCTCTACCTGATGTAAATGTTCACCCCATATGCCTGTCTGTTGTTGGGCTGGAAGCCACAGGAGTGAGTTCAGTTCCAGACCTGAAGGGCAGCTAGGGGCCATAGTCTCCGGGGTCTCCCCAGGCTCTATCAGACCAGCAAACCTGGTCTTAGGACTCCTTTAAGTAGTCCTAGCAGGTTAGTTAAGGTGCTCTGGTAGCATAGTGCCTAAGGCACTTGACTGCTAACCAGGAGGCTGGCACTTCAAACTCACCAGCCACTCCTCGGAAGGAAGGTTGGACAATCTACTTCCATAGTGATATTGCCTCGAAAACCCAAGGAGGGGTCGCTATGAGTCGGGTCCAACTCCACAGCACATAACAACAGCAGGTTAGTAATGATAATCGCCTCACAGCGTTTCCTGTGCCACCTCTGCTCAGCCCAGGGTTCTGATCCCAGGTACTGGAGGTTGTATCTCTTCAGTGTTTACTTCTCTTGACATGTTTCTATTTCCATTTCTTGATTTTTCCATCCACAGATAGTCTATTGAGTTTGTATGAAAGATGAGATTGAGCTTACATGCCCACCCACAACAACACATACATTTCCTCCTATCTGTCCCACAGAGTTGGATTATGTTGTTAGTTGCCACTGACGAATTGATTCCAACTGATGGTGACCCATGTGTTAAGGAATAGAACTGGTCCATGTGACTATATTCTTTTTTTTTTAAATTGTGATGTGGGTGAAAGTTTACAGAGTAAATTCACTCTCCATACAGCAGTTCATACACACATTGTCTCATGACATTGACTACAATTTCCCCCAATGCAACAGCTCCCATCCCACTTCCTCCCAACAGTTACCTCCCGTGACTATATTCTTAACAGAAGCACGTAACCACGACTTCTCTTCTGCAAGCTCCTCCGGGTGGACTCGAACGACCAACCTTTCGGATAGCGGTTGAATGCCAACCCTTTATGCCACCTGGGGACCTTAAGATTTTGGTTAAAACAACATGATTAGGACTGTAAACAGTGGCGCATGTAAACAGTGTTCTTATTTTACTCACAGAGTATATTTATGATAACTTTTCCTTTCTTGGTCAAATCTCTTCTTGTTGCTAGGTGCCGTTGAGTTGGCTCTGAGTCATAGTGACCCCATGTACAACAGAATGAAACACTACCTGGTCCTGTGCCGGCCTCACGATCCTTGCTCTACCCAAGCCCATCATGGCAGCCACTGTGTCAATCCATCTCGTTGAGGGTCTTCCCCTTTTTCAATGACCCTCCACTTTTATCAAACATATCTCTCTCCAGGGAATGGTCCCTTCTGACAACATGACCAAAGTAGGTGAGATGAAGTCTGACCATTCTCGCTTCCAAGGAGCATTCTGGCTGCACTTCTTCCAGGACAGATTTGTTAGTTCTTCTAGCAGTCCATGGGACTTCCAGTATTCTTTGCCAACACCACAATTCAAAAGCATCAACTCTTCTTCGGTCTTTCTTATTCTTTGTCCAGCTTTCACATGCATAAGAAGCAATTGAAAGTACTATGGCTTGGGTGGTATAATGCCTAAGGCATTTGACTGCTAACCAGAAAGCTGGTGGTTCAAATCCACAAGCCACTCCTTGGGAGGAAGATTGGGCAATCCACTTCCGTATAGTCGGCCTTGGAAACTATGGTCGCTATGAGTCAGAACTGACTCAATGGCAGTGAGTTTGGTTTTTCTTTTTTTTTTTTGTTATGGCTTGGGTCAGGTCCCCAAAGTGACATCTTTGCTCTTCAGCACTTTAAAGAGGACTTTTGCAGCACATTTGCCCATTGCAATACAAAGTCTGATTTCCTGACTGCTGTTTCCAGGGGTGTTGATTGACAGAGGATAGCTATGATAACATTTCCTTTCTTCGTCAGATCTCTTGGGGGTTCATAAATGCCGTATTTTTATTTATTTATTTGTCTACTAATGGTCTGTCTTTCTTCAGAAGAGAGGTCTCAAGAGGCTATCTGGATGATATCTGTGTGGCTCTGGCTTGTCATTGCAGGTCTTTAGCATGGTCAGTGGGGATGTCCCTTCACCCAGTCTCTCCAACATTGCAACCCAATCATAAGACTCCTCTCATGATGATCGGTGATATTAGAATATCTATCAGTGTTATTTCCTTCTTGGGAACATGGGATGGTAACACTCTAGACCCACTGCTTGACTGTTGGACTTCTCTTCATCCTCTGTCACCAGAAGTCCTGAATTGGGTTTCTTATTTCCTGCATTTCTTGTGTTCCTGTTTCTTGATAGACTCCCTCATTTTGATAAAGGACATATTTCAATAGCTTCTTCTGAAAGGGTGCATGAAACATAAATGTTTTGAAATCCTGCATGTCTGAAAAGGTCATTATTCTAACCTCACTTGAATGATAGTTTGGCTAGGTATCGAATTCTAAGTTGGAAACATTTTCTACAGCTGTGTAGCATTTTATTATGTCAATATACCATAATTAATTTAGCCATTCTAATATCGACAGGCATTGTGGAACATCCACATTGCAGCTATTATGAGTAGAGATGCTGTGGGCATTCTAGTGCGCGTCTTTTGGTGAAGATATATACATGTTTTTGTAGGTTACATACCCAGAAGTGGAATTGCTAGGTTATTCAGTAGGTGTTGGTTCAGCTTTGGTAGATAACTTTCCAAAGTGCTTGTACCAGTTTATACTCCTATCAGTTGTGTATGAGAGCTTCATTTGTTCTACAACTTCACCAACACTTGGCATTTCCTATATTTTTCATGATAGCCATTCTGGTGAGTGTGTAAAGGAATCTCATGATGTTTTGTTTTTTTCCCTTGAACAGTTTTATCAAGATATAATTTATATACCATAAAAAAAAAAAAAACACCCATTGCATGCATTTGATTGGGTTTCTGAGGCAGTAGCTCTACAGAAGTAGATTACCCAGTCTTTCTTCCAAGGAGTGGCTGGTGGGTTTGAACC